AACATATAAATAAAAAATAAAATATCAAAAAAATGTTATCAAATGTAGTCATAAACTATAATTCAAATGAAACCCCTTTGCTTTTTTTTTTTTTTTATAGTTTTTAGGTGTTGTGAATAAAAAACTATGGCTGTAAACATCTCAAATAACACTAAGAAAACACTTGGATCTTACGTCTCAACAATCATAAATTAATTTATAAAAAACATCTTTCAATCTCAAGTTGAGGTTCCATTACCCCCACCTTGAAAAATTGTAACCTTGTTATTAAAAAAAAAAAAAAAAAAAAAAAAACACTAAGAAAACATTGTAAAGTAATTGAAAATTTTCAAACCGATTAGTCTTGTCTCATTAAAAAAAGGGGAAATCTTCAATAAAACTCTTTAGCATCTTATCCTTGGAATGAAAAACTATTCCTCTAGACTTTATAAAAAAAATAAAAAATAAATTTATTTAGTGACGTGATCGCTTGCCTATGAAAGGAAAATGACAGGTGCCCTTTCACACCAATCTGTCAAGTGTCAACACAATCCAAAACCAATTTTAGGCAACAGCTTTATAAACACCTTCCATTTCCTTCTTTCTTCCTCATTCCTCCTCAGTCCTCAGTCTTAAGTTTCAAGTTTTACATCCTTTGTAATCCAGTAAAAAGATGGCTGGAGAAATTTTTGTTCTTCCGGCTTTTGGACAAGGCCATCTCTTTCCTTGTATTGAGCTCTGCAAGCTCATAGCTTCCCGCAGCTACAAAGCTACCCTCGTCATATTCTCCACTCTCTCCTCCTCTGTCCCCTCTTCTTTTCGACAACATCCTCTAATTGAAATCTTCGACATTCCTTCGCCCTCGGGATCTGACCCGATTCCCATGCACCCTGATAGCAAGCCACAAATGCTCCTGTGTCTCGAAAACTTGATCTCAACCCGACGCAAGCAGCCAGACCTCCCTCGCCCCCTCTGTGCCGTTGTCGATTTGATCGTCATCATGGAGTGGACCGCTGATGTTTTCAACAAATTAGGCATACCGACCGTCGGGTTTTTCACTTCCGGAGCATGCTCCGCCGCGATGGAGTACGCCACTTGGAAGGCCCAAGTCCAAGACATCAAACCCGGCGAGGTCCGGTCGCTTCCAGGATTACCGGAAGAGATGGCGATTACGATTTCCGATCTTAAGCGACGGTCTCTGGGCCCACCACGCGGTCATGGTGGCCCACCAGCTGGAGGTGAACTTGGGTCCAAGCCCAGGAGAAGGGGTCCAGCTGGGCCAGGTGAACACCCATCATGGGTCGATGAAACTTCAGACTCGATCGCTTTGGTGATCAACACGTGTTACGATCTAGAACGTCTATTTATCGATTACCTCGCTAGAGAAACTGGAAAACCAGTATGGGCTGTGGGCCCGCTACTGTCGGAACAATACTGGGCCTCTGGCGGTTCGCTTGTCCGTGATAGCAAAATCAGGAACCGACAGGCCGACATCACCGAGGAAAAGGTAATCGAATGGTTAGATTCGAAGCCACGTGGATCCGTGCTATACATTGCATTCGGCAGTTTAGTGGACATCACCTTAGAGGAGTACCCACAACTGGCGAGTGCATTAGAAGAGTCGACCCACCCATTCATCTGGGTGATCCGGAAGGACGCCGGTCGGAAGGGTGAACCGGAGGGATACTTCCCTCACGGTTTGGACCAAAGAGTTGGCGAAAGGGGTCTGATAATCCAAGGATGGGCGCCGCAGCTGTTGATACTGAGCCACAAATCAACGGGAGGGTTTCTGTCACACTGTGGATGGAACTCAACAGTGGAGGCGATTGGACGGGGCGTGCCGTTTTTGGCGTGGCCGCTAAGAGGCGACCAGTACTACGATGCGCAACTGGTGGTGAGATATCTTAAAGTGGGGTACAGTGTGAGTGAGGATATGGGAGGAATGGTGAAGAAGGAAGAGATGGTGAAAGGAATTGAGAAGCTGATGGGAGACAAAGAGATGAAGAGAAGAGCAGAAGCACTCGGAGCTAAGTTCGAGCATGGATTTCCAGATACTTCAATGGCTGCATTGGATGCTTTTACTGAACTTATTGAGAAGAAATCAGCTCCAGGCCAGTGATTTTGTGTTCGTTTTCCTCTGTTTCCTGCATGCTGTGTTATCAAATATTGCATGATCAAGGTTCATCTGTGAAAAAGAAAAAAGTTCATGATCATTTATTTGTCTGAGATCCTACAGTTACAACAAGAGCATGCAGGCATGGCCTAGCAGGAAAATTTTATGAAGGTACAGAGAACAAGAATGCTAATCCGAGTTTGAATTCAAAGAATTTGATAGCTGGATATAGTTGGAAAGGGAAAACTTAGGTGGGAGGGTCATCAATGGATCATCCCCACTCTTTTTTTGAAATGCCATCCCCAGTGCATATCCTAAGGCTCGAGCAACAGGGACAGCTACAGCATTCCCAATCTGACAGTACCTAAAAAAAAGGGTTTATTGAGATTCAGATTCTAGGTTATGTATTCCATGATGTATCTTGTACGAAAATTGAAGAGGGTAGCTGATTGCGGGCTGAGGGCCTTCACAAGCCACAAGTTTTTACAATGTTTTGAAGAAAATTGATGGTACCTGTCTTTAACTGTTCCACTGAACCTATAATAATCAGGGAAACCTTGTAGTCTTGCGTATTCCCTGATGGTAAGGATTCGGTCCTGTTCTGGGTGTAATATTACCTGCACAAACTCAAGAATTACAAGCATATTCCGGGACCAGGACATGAATATGGTCATGAACTAAAAGTAGAGAGCATGAAGATACCTGGTTGTGACAGGATGGGACAGTCACTACGGTTGGCACTGTTTCATCCCACCATAATCTTGCAAATGGCCTGTAGATGTATCTACAATGTTAGTTTTTCTTTCTTCAAACTCATTTCTTTTGGGGGAGGGGGGTTTGATATTGGAAACGCTGCTGAGGGAAGGATCACCTTTTAGACTTTCCTTGTTCGTAGGTAAAGACATAATCCGGTACCTACAAAGAACATAAAATAGTATTTACATCACTCCATCTTTTTCCTTTTTTTTTTTTGGTACACATCACTCTATCTATTTCGCCTCACTCCGGCATACTGTTCCATGTGGAAAACTTGCTTCAATCATAAGGAAGCCGAAATATCAATTCCGTTATTGTGAAAGGAAGTGCTCACCAATGGCTTTCCAGATGGTAACGGCTTTACTTTATGCGTTGGATCCCTCCGGGCCACATTGTCCTCCCCAACAATTATACCAGGAAGGTCTCTGAAATTTGCCCCCTACACATGTCGCTACATTAGAAATATCAGTGGGCTCCAAAAGTTTAACATGTGAATCCAATTTCAGTTTTATAAAACCTTTCTCTTTGGGATCCGACAAACTCTACTGTAATCATCTTCAAAGAGCATTAAGGGCCGATGGTCATAGAGCAAATTTTTAGGTCTTGAAGCACCATTTAATGAAGAACCAGTCATCTCTACAGAACCAGGAGAAAAGGAAATTAAACGGGAACAATTCATTAAAAACACAAGAGTATTGCAGAGATATTTTTTCACATTACAGATTACCATTTTCACTTGATCTTATATATCTTTGAAACTCAGTTTCTGGAGGCTTTCCATATGGCATTTCTTCTCGGACTTCATGGTTTGCAACCTATAAAGCAGTTAAACTACCAAACGATCAGGGTACCATTAAACTATGTAATGCAGCAACTTGTTTAAATAAAATATGACGCATACAGCCGGTAGATCAGAAATGGCATCACTAAGAACAAGAGCATCGTCCAGTTTGCGTGGTTGATCTTCATCATAAGCAACAGTATTGCGCTGCACAATGAAGACCGAAAGAATTACATTAGTAGAGCCTTGCCGATTATAGTAATAATTTAATATGCTCAAACTAAAATTAACACCTCAAATTCAGGTGGAGGCCAATATCGGATAATAACGTCATGCGTTGGAAGAGGAAATTGTGGTAGTTTCTGCAGGCATGAATCAAAACAAAACGGAAAAGTAATTGCATGGTCAATAAGAGGCAGACAAATATGGAATTATCAAATTATAAGAAGAATGAATGATAACTATGTATCTCCTTATTTTATCAGAATAATTTGATTCATAAAAATTAGAAGTCTTGCCTCACTAGGTCGTGCTCCCCACAAGAAAACACGCAACCGAAATTGAGGAAGACCATAACAGCCAGCTGCAATCGTACCAAGTCTTGCTTGGTAGTTCATGTACACCAACCGACTTAATGCATATCTGGCAAGGTAAGCTCTTTTAAATCTTAGAATATCAACCACATTTTCCATTAACACAAACTTGGGTTTTAAGTATTCCACTATGTTCATGAAGATTATGATTTGACGATTCCTTTCATCATCCAATGGAGACTCAACGTTTCTGTAGCGATTGTAACCACTAATCCCTTGGCATGGAGGGCCACCACAAATAACATCTACATCACCCTGGATAAGATTGGATTGGTTCATTAGCATAGGAAACATTAATACAATTTTCCTAATGAAAAATCGGCAATATTCTAGGAAAAAATCTTACTGGAAGTGGCAAGATCTTGGATTTGAACCCATTTCTTACGAAGTCCCGTATCCCTTCTTCACAATTACTGAGATATTTATGTGATAAGTAAAATATTATCAACGAGAGGAGAAATAAGGAGAGCAACTACCATACCTCAAACCTTCATATGGTTCCCAAGTATCTTCACTTGCACCATGACCCTTCCAGCGTACCTAAGACATAGCCAAGTAGAAAGTCACCTTCACCAAACTATGATGTCAAAAGAAATAAGTCCATATAAAAAACACAAAAATACAATGTGCTGCTGGAAACAAAGATCATTTAATTTGCAAGCACAAGAAAAAGGATCAACACTGGTATGCTTGTAGAATACAGGTCAATTTCCATTTGATGCAGTACCTTAAATTTTAGACCATACTTTCCTGTCCTGCAGGGATCTCCATAACAAATATCAACAAGCCTTTCAACTTCAAGTTCACCAGGAGGGATATTAGAATTCGGAGAAGTATCGTCTTTTGAGGCCATGGATCTTGATTCATGTGTTCTTTCCACATCAGTTGCAAATCTTTTACCAAGCTTGTCCCATTCCGTTAGCAGGTGAAGAAAATCCTCAGCAGTTTCATGCCTGACCTATATAAAAGAAACACAAAAGTAACTTACATACCTGTAAAAGACTTTTCTTGGAATGCTAGTTTAGTCAGTAATGCAATAATGGAGATGGCACCCTCACCTGTGTCTTAGGGTGATTCAGTCTGAAGCTTTCACATGCTGACATGTCACTCTCAATAGCCCATTTCTAATATTAAAAGTAAGAAAACGTAAACTTAACTAAATAAGATCAGCATAATAGTCCAAAAATTATGATGCCAGCAATTTAATGATCAAAATGAAGTACCGTCACAAGATCAATGTGGGATACTTTGGCACCTAGGCACAATCCAATAGACATTCCACCACAGCCAGAATAAAGATCTAATAGTGTAAACTCTGTCTTGCAAGGTTCACAAATGGACATATTAGCCAATGGATATGTAGGACCTGCAAGAAGTGTCATTGCAAGGGTATGATCAATTATAGGTCTTGAAGGAATAATCTAAATCAAAAAGGAAAGAGGAAATACTAGCACCAAAAACTATCACTTTTCAATCATTTGTAAAGTTAAAAAGGGTGCATTGGTAATCACCGAAAGTAGTAAAAGTGCCATTGACAAGAACATTCTTACTAAAATATAGCACCATTCCTATTATAATATTCTTATTATTAGAAATCAAGGCCCTCTCACCTTCCTCTTTCTTGCCAGGAAGAAGAACAAAGTTAATATAGCTCCTTACCACCATAACAAATATAGAAACTTACCAGTTGGTGGTGTCTGGAATGTGGAATAATCCACACAGTATTCCATGTCAAAATAGAAATCAGATTGGGGAATAGAGTTTGATTTTAAGCCCACCTGAATCAAATTGCAATATGAGATATGAAATCAATAGAAAAGAAAAGGACTCATGAAAACCTCTAATGAAAAACAGAAATAATAAAGCAACCAAGAGCTTGAATTCAGCACAGAGTCAGCATTAGAAACAGCATACCAAAGGTGACAATTGTGTAACACTGACTTTTGAAATAATACAATCTATAGGATTATCATTCATTACAGTTGAATGGAATAATCGCCTTTTGTCATGAAAAACTGCTGCTCTTTTGTCATGAAAAACTTCTGCTTTTTCAATAACCTGTGAAATAAACACAAAAAGGGGGCAACAAATTAGGTAAACAATCTTGCAGAGCCAGAAATGTAACCATAATCATTTAAGCACTCACAGTATCTTCAGCTCTGTAAAACCATTGGACTCTAAAATAATTTTCTCCATCAGTTGTTTTGAAGAATTCCAAGATCCTTCCTATATGATTTTGTGCTTCTTCACCCTGCAAAATTTGTTTATACTGTAAGAACTCCTCCCATAGCCAGATTTTAGAAAAATAAATAAATAAAAATTATTTTCCTGTAGCCAGATTTGATTTATAGGAAGGGGAAATGTGACAAGTGAATTCCTCTTCATAAATAAGCATCACCAAAAAAAGGCCAACAAAAACTCAACAAGTAGTTCCCATGTTTCTTTTCCTTTTTTATTTTTTTTCTTTCACGTGAAACATGAGAACTATTGTGTAGTGAGACATGAGTATCGGACTATAATTAAGCTCTAAAACTGAAATAAGGTATGCACTACACTGATTAATCCTTTTGTAGTATTTGGTTACATGAAATGAAAACTTTTATATTGAGAAGCAAAAAAATAAAGGAGCTGGAGGAGGAAAATATAAAGCTTACTTATATTGAACCTGATAAGGAATATTATTTTTGGTAAAATTTTCTTTAGGTGATTTATTTCCCATTTGAGGTATTCAAGGGTTTTCAGAAATTAGGGCTTCTCAAAATCTCAATAATCTGTACATCTAGGTGCAGTAAGACTTTCAGGATCAAAGAAATGGAGTGTCTTTCTCATTCAGAGGCTAATTATCCTGGAAAAAATAGATTTAGGCATTTCCCCCTCAGAGTGGTCAGTCATCTTCTCCATTTTATTAATCAATCAATAAAACAGAAATCGTGTCAAGAAATTTAAATAAAAGCTCCCTAAAGTTGCAGATGTTCTATGTTCTAATGATGATTTTGATTTAATTTGAATTGGTGACCTTAAAACAAACAAAATTAAAAACCTTAAAACAATGTGCAGGGTGACAAAAGATTGCATCAAAAAGGGTTGTAGAAAATATATTTCTCCAAAGTTCTAGGGATATTAATGCATTTACCTTTATATACACACAATCACCAAGATTAACAACACACCCCTCAATATCAGCTTGTGCATAATGGCATTCAACATTTGAAACTATCTTGTCTTCATCATCATCATCACTATGACAAGAGCACAGAAGAAAGAAACAAAAGAAATAGCAAGATGTTATGTAAGAACGCAAAAGAACAAGTTAATAGCAATCCATTTCAGTGGGAACTTGAAACTGGATAAAAAGAAAAGGTCAAAACAATGAGCTTGTAAAAAATTGCTTGCTTACTCTAATTGGAGGCTCTTTCTCTTAGATGTTTGATTCTGCAAAGTGCAAGATAAGAAAAATCAACATAAATTATTGAAACATTAAAGTCACTTTTCAGCTCTCTCTCTCTCTCTCTCTCTCTCTCTCTCTCTCTCTCTCTCTTTTTCCTTTTTTTTCCTTCTTTTCTTATTCATTCTTTAACACAGAGACCTTGGATACCATGCATTTGCTAGCCCCTTTGCTAAGGAATATCCCAAAATCATATCAAGCAATATTGTAAAACCCATGGACTCTACTACTTCTGTTGGCCTAATTCAAATCAATGAGCCTTATAACCAAGTTACATCAAAGAACAACCAATAGTCAGCTAAAGTCACATGAAAGATAATTGATTAATCACCTTCAACTCATAACGCCAAAGCCATCTTTCTTGAGCTTCATCTTGAGGGATTGGATCTCCAATAAATCTATAGGTACTTTCATTTCTCCTCTGTTTCTTCTTAGCAGAGGCCAATGGCTTAATCTTCCTTAGAGATTGTTTCTCAGCTGACAAATGTAGCTCAATTGAAGAACTTTTTCTTCCATCGTTTTTATCAGTTGCAGTTGGAAAAGTGGCTCTTCCTAGAGTTCGTTCCAAGAACTCCTCATCTGACTTTCTCACATCTGAATCAGCTGATGGGATCCTAAGTTTCATACAAGGCTGTTCATCATTTGAAAGTGAAAATTCATTAGAAGTGGAGTTTACTTTCCTGCTCTTAGTTCCAGCTAGGGATAAGGGAAACCTTGAACACTTTCTTAACTTCTTTTTATCTAGTATCTCCACACCATCTTTTCCAAAAGATCCATTATTATCACAATTTTTTGTTGTCTGAGAAAACTTTGGATATATCCTAAACTGCTCCTCTCCAAAGAGGCCATGATCCTGTGTATTGAATGAACACGAAGATTCATTGTTAATGCCGTTTTTGGTACATTGAAGAAACCTTGGAGACCTCCTTAAATGCTTCTCACAGGATACAGTAACCCCTTGATTTCTAAAATTCCTCAAACGTTCGTTCCTGCTGGCAACACTTCCTGTTGCTTGAGAAAAGCTTGGAGAAGTTCCGAACTGCATCTTCCCAGAGCAGCCCAGTTCATGTGCTTCAGATTCTCTCAAAGATTCATTACTACCACCATTTTTAGTACAGTCAATGGACCTTGGAGACCTTCTTAACTGTGTCTTAGCTGAATGACCACCATCTGAAATTCTAGAGCTTTGAAAAGATTCACCACTACCACCATTTTCAGTCTCCAAAATAAACCGTGGAGACCTTCTTACTTGCCTTTCAGATGATTCTTTTTTAGAATTAGAAACTTCAGGAGATCCCAACATAGATTCTGACAAGTTACATTTTTCCTCAGTTTGAGATAATCTAGAAGAGCAACACTGTACTTCTGTACTATCAACATTCATGCCAGCTATTAGTTCTTTGTCTCCAACACTGCAACAAAGAGCAGGATAATTTGCATTAGCTTAAAAATCAGGGAAAGTGAACATGTTATGGACACAAACAGATTAAAAACAATGGAACCTTTTTTGTTGCTATTGCTCACCTCACTGTCAGTTGTTGACGATTTGAGCTCTGCATAATCCAAGAATTTTAATGAACAGATGAAGAGCTAAAAGGATAATGGGAACACCCCAATAACAGGGACAATTTATAGCAAAAACTTTTCATAAGAAAAAAAAAAAAAAGGATGATGACGGAGCAGAGCATGAAGTAACCACTCAGATAACAGTACTGGCCAGGCATCAAGTTTATCGCAAAAACTTTTTATAAAAAGAAGCAAAAAAAAAAAGCTTAATTTCTTTAGCTTTCTTAGCTAGTTTTAGCTACAATTTTACGTTCGCGAGCTGAAGACAACTAACCTTAGGCGAAATAGACTCATTTCTTCCGCATTGCGCCTCAACAGAACTCGAATTGAATCTCGGCGACTTCCTCTGTTTCTTACCAGCAACAGACTTCGAGTTTATCTTCGTAGTTTCACTTTCCTCCGGTTTTACAATCACGGTGGATCCCGCATTCTCGCTCTCCAGCCCAGCCGCTGGCCAAAATCTAGGCGACCTCCTCAAGGCGATTGCATGCGCCGTCGCTTCACCCGATGACCTCGCTCGACTCTTTCCCTTGTCATTTTCGGTACCTTCCGAGACAGGCAACAACCTAGGAGATCTTCTTGCTAGATTATCAGCCGGCGTTTGCTTCGGATGGAAACTGCTAAGCGGCAACGGCTGCTCCTCATCTTCTCCTCCAATGCTGCTCTCAACCAACAGAGCTTCTGAACTGGATTCCAATTTGGACTCCTTCAAGGAAGTCATTACGAACCCGTAGTATTGAAGAGAAGAAGAATCCAGCCAATTCCAGGAACAGAGATTTAGAAAAGGACATTTAAATCCAGCTTTCAGATCTGCGAGGCGGAGCAGCTGAAAGGCATTACTCGGAAAAGCGTGAAAATATTACACGCCAATAGCGGAGCGGGGAACAACAGTCATTAAGCATTGGGTCGTTCGATTGTGGGTTTTACTATGGTGCTTCCCGTGTGTACGGAGGCTTTTATGAGTCAGAAACGCATTTATGGTTGTACGTTCTCGTACTGATTTTGATATTTCAAATTGAAAAAGAGGTGCGTCGCTGCAGGGTACAATTATAGAAGCAAGGTTTTATAGGGAATTTCAGAATGGTGGTCCGCACTGGATTTGGGGCCATGAGCGGGAAGACTAACCCACATGCGGTCCAGACAAAATTTGAAAAACAAAAAAAAATATAAGACAAAAATATTATAATTATATAATTTTATATAATTAATTTTTCATTTAAAAATATATTTATAGGTTATAATTATTTAATATCACATTATAATTCTAATTTTACAATCTCATATCATAGTATAATAATTATAGTATTACCAAAAATAATACTACTAGGAGGAAATAGTAGAAAGAATGTCTAAATCCATCAAAATTCCAAATTACCACTTCCTTTCAAAAGAAAAACATACATTTTCTTTTATAGTAAAAAGAGATAAAATACTCAAATTCACCTCCAAAGTTGGATA